TGCGCACGTCTCCGCAAGAGATATCACTATTAGGTGACGCATTGCAAAAGCGAGCGTGGCTCTGTCCGTGTCTTGCATTGTGATCGAGCACTGTCAAATCCTAGCGATAACAAAGAGCGGAAACGACCGGGGCTCCGTGGCGCGGCTCCCGTATTAGACTTGGAGATTGAAAATGAAATCCCGAAACTTGTACTATTTTAGCTTGGTACTTTTTAAACATTTAGAAAGTGGAGACACAAAAGGGACGGTACGGACAGGGCAATCTTGCACCTTTAACAACATTAATTTTCGGCTTCAAGCTCAAAGAACGCGCGCTCCAAGGGAGTACCGGAAAGGGAAATCTTGGGGGAAGGAGAGAAAGCGGAGGAAGTGTACGCGATCCCCCTGTCCTGCGGGGCCAGGTACAACGGGCAAACGGGGCGATGCCTCAAATGGACGCCGAAAGAGCTGCTTCGGATTCTAAGCAGCCGGTCGTCATTCACGGGAGAAAATGTCCCGACTGTGCTCCTAATTTCGCCGGCAAGACAGCCATGGGAGGCCACTGAGAGCGAGTGGGGAGAGAAATAATTGAAGCCTATCGGATGGCGACAAGCCCGCAAAACATAAGCACCCCTTCCATTTCGCTCTCAAGAAAGGAGATGATGTTTCTGAGGCCCTCAATGGAAGCCGAACGCTGACAGACTAGGCAAGGCGATAAGGTCAGCGGCAGAAGCGTCCTCTCCTTTTACGCGTTGTTTTTTCCCCTTTGACCTCGCCTTTTGCAAATCCTTCCCACCTGTTTTTGTGTCTTCGTGTGGCTGTCAGCGAGCGCGACAGCCGCTTTAAGCAACTCAAAAGGGAGAAGCGAAACGCTTGACCTGACGTGACCTCCCTACGTAGGACTCGCGGGACAAAAACGTTTGGACGAAAATTTTTCACTTTACTTTTTCTGTCATGCTGATGGGATCTCTAGGGCTGTTTTCGCCGTTTGGCTAGTTATAGAAATAGGCGGGCCACGTAGGTCCGGTTTTCGAACTGCGCTCTTCAGTGTTCTGTTGCTTTTGTGCGTTGCAGACGAGGCCGTGTTTTTTCGTCGGAAACGGTAGGAATACTTTCATGCCGATTTTTTGGTAACAGCCATTTTTTTCACCGGAATTCGTGGAATTCTTGTGATGTGTTTGTTGGACACGCTTCGACAAAAACTGCTCTCCCCCGACGACGAGACGTCAGTTGAACCTGTGCAGCCTTCTTTCTCGAATGTGTTTGTGGGGTGCCTGAGTTGGATTATCCATGTATGAAGAATTACAGGATATCGCTCTTTTATTAGTAAGTACACTGCAAGCACGCTTTTGATAGCAGTCCTGCTTTCCTCTTAATATCCGCGTTTTTTTTGTGTGATGAGTTTTGCTGGGCACGAGGACGGTGTTAAGTGTATTTTATAATTTGCTTTTCGTTTTACAGAGAAGTGTGACCTTTGTAAATATGTCGAGAATACACTGTGTGTAATGATAGTGGTTTAATAAACTTCTGGGAGCAATCTAAAACATTTTGTTTGTCCGTATATGTGATTGAATATGCAACAAATGATATGCAACGTACACATACTTGCACGACGTTCGGCCAATAAAGAGCAGACGCGTCGTAGAGTATTCGCACCATATTGCGCGAACGCTAGGCCGGGGCAAAACAGCTGTACTGCAATACTTGCCGGATATCAAACAGTGGTGCGAAATTGGACATTTGAGCGATATTGGAACCGACTTTCGGCCGGCACTGGCACGATACTGCAAAGTATTGCCGGGCTGCTTGGGAACGGAGGTGATGGCATCTTACTATCGTGTTTCCAACGCTTATTTAATTTGATTATTTTCTTGGACGCTTGAGAGAGCCCTTCTGTGACACACCAGAGATATTCGAAACTTGGCTTTCTTTGTCACTTTCGGCACTTAATTGGCACTTCAGTGGGTAGCCAGAGAAGAGAGAAAACTTCGGCATGCCCCGAATCGCCAAATTAAGATTTACTGCGGCAGTTATGGCTCAAGTCTGGCACTTTCTTTGGCAGAACTCTGGCGCACCAGAGAAAAGCCAAACTTGGCATGTCCGAAATACCTAAATTAGGCGTCTTTGGCAGTTATGACTCAAGTATGGCACTTACTTTGGCACAACTGTGGAGGACCAGAGAAAAGACTAACACGGCGTGGCCGAAACACCGAAATTAGGCGTTGCTTTGGTAGTTATGGCTTAAGTATGGCGCACTTCAGCACTCCTGTGGCGGACCAGAGAAACGCCAAACCTTGGCATGCCCCGAATTCCCAGATTAGGATTTACTATGGCAGTTATGGCTCAAGTATGGCACCAACTTTGGCGCTCCTCTGGCTGACCATAGCAACGCCAAACTTTGGCATGTCCGAAATACCCAAATTACGCGTTGCTATGGCAGTTATGGCTCTAGTATGGCACTACTTCGGCACTCCTGTGGTGGACCAGAGAAAAGGCAAACTTTGGCACGTCCCAAATACCAAAACTAGGCGTTGCTCTCGCAGTTATGGCTGAAGTAAGGCACCCACTTCGGCGCTCCTCTGGCGTACCAGAGAAACGCCAAACCTTGGCATGCTTCGAATTCCCAGATTAGGATTTACTATGGCAGTTATGGCTCAAGCATGGCACAAACTTTGGCACTCCTCTGGCGTACCAGAGAAGAGCCAAACCTTTGCATGCCTAGGAACGCCCAACTAAGGCTATAGTTAGGCACCGTACTTTGGCACTGATGAGTGCCATGGTGCAAAAACCTACAGCGCCAAAGTTGGTCCCTTATGTTTGCCAGACCTTTGCCCAGGTTGGGCATTCCTCTGGCGTTCTACCTGGGTATATTACAGTTACATTCACTCACATAAAGAACGCAGTGATGTTGCCATAATTATGTACTAGTTCAAAATTATGATTTGGTTTGCCCAGAATACGGGAACGTTTTGTAGATTCGATTGAATTTCTTTCAACTTTATTTCCGACACAGTGGTTGTGATTCTAGACTTTTTCTAAAGCAAGTAAAGAAGCGTTTCCCAGATACGGCGCACTTTATTTAAAAAAATCCGTTGGCCCGAAAATAAAATAAAATTTGTATCTACTTCTTTAATACACCACCCTCATATTGTTGACAAAATCGAGGAACCACAGAATGTATCCCGTTGAAAGCGCCACATGATACGAGGTCAGACAGCTCTAGCGAGCACGCTTTGCCGGGAGCCCAACGATTCCAGAGAAGCTGTACTGCGGAGAAAAGGGGCTATAGTATCAGGCTGAAACAACGCCCGCGCCCTGGGGCGGCTTGTTTACGATTTCTAAGATTTTTATTTATTTCTTTTTCGTATATTTTACATTGTTTGATTTTATTTTGTATATTTTTTATTTTTATATATTTTTTATTTTAATGTTTTGTGATTTCCGTGATAAATGTTTTTACTTCTGATTTGTGTTTTCTTATTCCTCTATCGTTTTTATTCATTTGTTCATCTTTACATGTAACCTTAACGTCATGTAACTCTCCTAACTTGTCGGTCATTCATGACACCCACTCATGACAATGTTTTGATAGAAAGCGACCAACAACGCACACTCTGTGCTAAAAGAACAGATCATGTGCGTTGCTTTACCCAAAATAAATATCGATTCAATTCAATTCAATTTGAAAACAACGATTGTCACGATATGTCCAAAAGAATTTTCCTCTGTTCTTCCATCGTTTCAGTGCTCACAACCAGCGCCATAAGAGTTTAGGGTCGGTGTTGAGAGGCTTGCAACTGCTTTTATTTTCTGCCGTGCTATAATCACAATAAAAGTAACCTAGAGAAAAATGCAGTAGTAATTATATCAATACTTCATAACCATAATAAAGTACCCGGATAGAGGATACAGGTTAACCAACATCTTCGATTTACATTCTGCAGTATAGATATCATATATAATTTTTGAATATGAGGCATTAGATACCTCGTATCCAAAAGTGAATAGAAACCTCAAAATTTATAAATAAAATATAACTTGAAGCTCATTTTTTGTGCCAGATGTCCCATACTTTAAAAAGTAGGTTGTGTATGGACACAAAAGGAAATTAATTGAACTCACATTATACGATATTCCTCAACATTAAATGGACAAGGACGTTCCTATATTAAATTGCGGTTGAACATGAAAGACTAATAGATTATCTACACAAAAATCTGGCAAGGTGGCGCTTTTGCACACTATAATCACGGAAAGTTCAGGTTAAATCATAAGGCAAACCCTCCACTCCTCCATAAAACCGTTCCTTGCAACGTTATGAACTATGTCATTAGCACGTCTCCTGGGGTGAAGTAGAATTTTGGGCCAGTTGGTTCATTATCTCGCTGGTAAGCGCCACAAAAAACACAGGCAGAATGAAGTAGCCACACAGGGGTGCCCCTGTCTGTCTACTTGATTGTTCTTGTGTTCTTTGGAAGTTACCTTCGTTCTCATGGGACCCTGTTAAAGGATCGTTTCACAATAGGTATCTTGGAACTTTCTTTATTACTTTCGTAAGACGACTAATCGCCTGGTATATGATTTATAGAGCACTAAAATACCTCCCTATATTTCCAACATTCTTATTCTTGCATCCCCGAAGTGTGCTAACATGTGGAATAAGCCATTTCGGAAGTCCAGCTCAAATGAAGCGATCTGAAGTCCGTTGGGGTGCAAGGCACGGCTAGTAATGTAAACATAAAAAGTTTAATTGAAATAGCCATTAAACAAACGTAGGATGCACGCGTTAAGTTTTTTTAATAAATGATGCAACCTAGGACAAAAGTATGTTTCACCTTTCCATGTGCGGGTGCTTTTGACTTGCTTCTGGTTTCTTAGGTGATCAGTGTGTCTTAGCCATCGTCATTATTTTCTTTTGTGCTTCGCTATCCTCCGATTACTCCTTCTCTATATCTCGCCCCTCTTCTTTATTTTTACTTCTCCTCCTCCTCTTTACATTTATCTTTATCGACTTCCTTATCTTAATCTTCCCCCTCTTCCTTGTAATTTTCATCCGTATCTTCTTTCTGCTCGTTATTTTGGTCCTCTTTATTATTTTCCTCAAGCTCATCGTTACCCTCCGCTTCGTTTGTGCCTTCCTCCTTTGCCTCCCCATCTTTCTCCTCTTCTTCTTTCTCTCCAGCTTCACCTGCTTCCTCGTTCTCGCCTTTCTTCTCTCCACCGTCATCTGCATCTTCCTCTTCATCTTTCTTCTCTTCATTGCCAGCTGCTTCCTTCTCTTCTTTCGTCTCTCCACCGTCATCTGCTTCTTCCTCTTCATCTTTCTTCTCTTCATTGCCAGCTGTTTCCTTTTCTTCTTTCTCCTCTCCACCGTCACCTGCTTCCTTATTCTTGGTCTTTTTCTCCCCGCCATCTCCGCCACCACCCGGAGCATTCAACGTCTGATTAAATATAGGACTAGATGGATGATGGCAGTCCTGGTTCATGCACTTGCTTTCCAGTGGTCCAAAGTTGAACTACAAAGCAAGTAACGTTTATATACAAATTTTCGCTTGAGAATTTATCATTTAGTGCTTTGTAATTTATTCTTGGCGGAATGTTTGAAGCTAAAACCCAGTAAAACATTTCTACATCAGAGTATGTTATATAAAAAGTGTTTGTCAGTACATGCAGCAGGCGACCTAAATCTTTTGAGTTATGCAAGGTGAAATTAAAATCTATATTTCAAGATAAGCTGAAAAATGAGCTACAGACACTATGCAAATACTCCTATTTGTCGCGTTGGGCAACTGGGCGTGAGGGCGACGACGTAATTACACGACTAATGACATACAATTCTATATATCAACCTGAAAACTTGTCTTAGAATCAAAATTTATGCGGCTATCTGGAGTCAGTTGCTAAATTAGGCCATAAGAGGTGTGTGACTTCCGTGCGCTTTTGTTTGTTAAATCTTTTTTTTTTTCAATGTTTATAAAGGATGTAGTGTCGTGTGTTGAAAATTCTGAGTTCCTCCTTTTCTGCCAGAGATATTAGGTTGCCTAAAATAATTCAGCACAATAAAAGACTGCAACGCATTTAAATGCGATGTGCCACGTATTCGTTTATGGTGCAAACAAAAGCAGTTACTGCAGAACCCTACGAATACAAAAGTGATTTCCTTGTGACAGCGCTATACTGTTTGAAAAACACATTTAATCTTGGTGGAATGCCAGTGCCGACCGTATGAAAGACCATGATGTGGATAATACATAATTAACAAAATGGAACACATATTGATTGCATTGTACAAAATTTAATCTATTTTACAAGAATCGGAATAGTCACTAATTCGGTCCAAGTTTTGGCGTTTTTTTGAACAATGCTCTGACGTTTACTGTTTAAATAGTAGCATAAACCTTACAGCGTTTATTGTTGAACAGGTAAATATTGAGCCTCAGATATCGCAAAATTTTCACGGGAAATAGTGCAGTGCAATTATATCTGGTGACAATTTTTATTTTAATATTTCTAATTTATAGTTAAATATTTGAAGTTGCATCTATTTAATTTCTTCGCTCCCTCTGAGCGAAAATAGTCTACCTAATACATCCTGAAATGCGATAAGTGTTTTTTTTTTAAGTTACAAGCTTTAAATTATTAAGCAGCTGATGATTAAGATTAAAAAAATTTGAATTTGGGTCATTTCACTAGCATACATAAAATATTCAAAAAGTATCTTGATCAAAACTAAAAATGCTAAAATACGGATGTGGAATTCAGTACAGTGACAACTAAATCTTTTCATTTCTAGAAGCAAAAAAAAAAAAAAAATTAAGACGACTACATTAAGTTGCATCAAGACATGCATGCATTAACAGTTTCTGAAATTCTCAGACACACAAATGTGAATGTCCATAAAGATTTCTTTGAAGATTTCAATCCTCTTCCAAAAGAAAACCAGCGGGATCGTGTTTCTTTCGCCGTAAATTAGAAACGTTGCAGCGTGTGTTCAAACACTGGTAGTGTTCGTGGTAATATATTTTATTACATGTATAGACCTATCATGCAATATTGTAGCCAGAAAAAATACTTGAAAAAAAAAGACTAATCAATATCAAATGCACAAGGAAGTTGTAGTGGAGTCAAGATTTGCAGCTTCTAAAATTAGCTTGTATGGTATAGGTGAAATTCAGTGGCTACCAATAAATATTTGTTTAAAGGGTCTTGACATTGAGTTCTTGAGATCAAAAGGCGTTAAGAATTGAAGTCCAAGATTGACTACAAGCAACATATTAAATTAATAAAGATTTATCTATGTCTTAGAGCCGTCCATTAAATTGCAAAGAAACTTACCAAGCACGGCGTACCGTCTGGATAGAACTTTTCTACCCAGTAGACATCATCATTTTTGTATGGGAAGCAAAAGTAATTACAGGTTATAACTGGTTTAGCCTAGAAAAAATAAAAGCAAAAATAAAGATTGAAAGTATGTAGGGAACAGCCGTATATCTATACCTGCACTGCCCGACACTACTAACGGCATCACGATATCGTAAACTTTGCACATTTTTTATAAAGTAATTTTTAGACGTCAACCTTTGCCTCTAATTTGGCATTCATGAAGATCCAGCAGGCTAATAGTTTTTTTTTAAATTTTGGTTTAGAAAATAACCAGAAAAGGTTGTAAATAGCTCGTTCGTAACAAACTTGATGCACTCCGTGAAGAGATCAGCTGGGTTAACTGGCTGTCTTTTATTTTCTGAAAAAAAGCAATTACAATTTTCGGGGTACATCCTTCAACAGTGAAAGAACCATTTTTTCAGTACTACAAAATATTAAACATAATATCAGTGTATATCTCATGTGACTCTTCTCGGTAAGAACTACATGAAAGTACGCTAATCAGAATGGCGGAAATGCGCTAGAACCTCGCGGCCGGGTTCTCACATCGTTGACGAATGTTTTCAATTCGGGTGTACCAAACAGTCAATCTCAGAAAAAAATGTTTTAATATATCAGAAGTATATCCTCGAAGATAATATGACGATTTTGACGGCTTGGAACAATAAGTTCCTGACCGGAAAACCGCATGAGGAGTTTAATGTCATTCTTATACATTCTTAGACGTTTTTAAAGGAAGCATCTATGTACCTACTGGTGCATAGATGCTTGCACAAAATGGAAAGTTGTCCATTAAAGAAAAGCTCCCCGAACCCCTTTTAATAATATTGCTCCTCGACCACCTTTATTCCTAGTTCTAAAAATTCTGATCCAGAATCCCTCTGTGTCAAATATTAAAAAAAAAAAAAAAACGAAAATTGCATCTTCAATTTAGAACATATAATATGATGAATTCAATTATTTGAATCCCATTCTGCGTTTAACCAGTACAGATCATTATGGCTGCCCTCGCTTCTACCCTAAGAAAAGCTGTGAACACTTAAGAGAAACGCGTTACCTGCTAATCTACTGCTGGTCATGATCTTGCAATTATGTTATTTGTGCAACTATACTATAACTAAATCAATGAATGACTATATGACCGCATGCAAACCACTATAATAATGGCGGTATATTCGGACCCTGTAGATAATAAATAAATAACACGGGGCAACATGTGTTATGGGTTCTTGTTCGCAAGTAATTCGGGTAACGCACCATTTTTTGACGGTGCGTGTGGTCTGTTCTGTAGACTGTCGTTGAAACAAATACAATTACACACCCCAACCTCGAAGTTACAAGTGTTTTTGTTTTGCTTACAGTATTGCGTGCCTTTGGGTGATAATTGTTTCGGTATTCTTATCCTTCACGGTTCTTAAGGAAAAAGATACCGCTACACGCGATATTGCTTTTCGTATTACAAATGCTAGCTTTTTTTGCGCTTGAATTTTTTTTACAAAGAAAACAGTGTTGTTTTCCTACACCCCGAATGAATCAATTTGGCGTGAGTAATAATTGACTTCTACGCTCTATATTTCTGTGGGAACAGACTCGCTCTAAAAAAGGCAAAACTTCTCAAATTAAAGCGATAACTGTTATTGGTCGGCTCGTCCCAATGTCGCACGTTGTCTTTGTAGCATAGTTATTTATGTTTTTGATGTGGTAGTTGGTGTCGTAGCGTATAGGGCGTCTGTCGCGGTATTTCTAACTATAAAATGACGAGTAAACATTGGTAGCGGATACGAAACCGCCAAGCTGATCTGCACGTTTTCAAACGCGCAGTGGCTGGAATCGCGCGGTTGGGGCGCGTTTTCGCCATCCGCTTCGGGACCGTTTCCATCCAACCGCTTTCGCGAACAGGCACCCAATCGCGGCGCCACGCCGACTTAACGTCGATTGTTTTCGAGACAAGATGGCACCCGCCGCTGGTGAGGTGTCGGAGGCGCCGTAGTCCTTCATTGAAGCAGACAAATCAGCGAAGTAACAGAATGTTCGCTTCGGTGACCTGAATCCGAAACAAAAATAATTGACTTGTTATCTTAATTCGCTTCGCTTCGGTGGTTTTGATTCGGGCAAGCTAGTTTCTTTATTATTTGGGTTGCTCCGTCGCTGCGCTGCCATGTCCGTCTTTATCCGTAGAACATAGGAACCCGCCTCCGATTGCCCGAAGTAACAGCTTCCATTCCCACTTTGGCAGCCGCGTAAACTACTGTAAGCTTTCGACAGAGCGCATCACGAATACGTAGGCCGATAGAGATAACGTGCGCGTATAATTGCGTAGCAGACACATTAACGCGAAAATGGCGGCGCACACCCAAGATAATTGCGCTAGCTTGACCGGTGAAGCTTCTACCACCAAGCGGAATAAAGTGAACCTACTCAAGAAATAAAGTGTACGTACCAGACAGTGCATCAATAATCCACGCGGCGCTCATTTGAGTTTAATATCAAGCCAACAACAAAACAGCATATTCAATCGAGGTGTCAGTGCCGAGAGGCGAGTCCGCCACCAACCAACTTCTATATTTTCTTTTTTGTTATCAGTTCGAATGTACACGGCACGTGCATTCGATTATTGTTGATTATTGTGGTAAGCATATTGTTATTGTTAATGTGATTATTGCTTTTTTTTACGGGCATTTAGATTTTTCTTTTCATTTTGCTATGGGTGCGTCTTGTATAAAATTTTATAAATACAGTATTGTTCAAAGTTTTTGTTGGAGGTATGAACCTATCGCTTTTTTATATGTTGTTCCTCCCTGCCACCTGCCACGGGCTTGCAATATGTATAAATAAATAAATAAATACATAGCACCGAACCTAATCCCTGCACCTCCAATGCCGCTCACAACACCGAAGAAAAAAAAAACGAACAACGAGGGGTGAAACTTAGGCCCTCTTATTCAGGTCAGCTATATATGCAAGGAGGTTCCAATCCGAAGAATGGGTCGGGGCATCCTCTTCTGCGTCAGCAAGGCGCGCCTTGCTGGGCTTTGCTCGGGGGCGAAATCGAGGGAATCGTCGCCGTGGTTTCGAGGGTTCATTTTTCTTTTTTTTCACTGTCCAAAATTTCGAAGTGTGAGTTAAAGTACTTCTGGCTTTGTAGCGCTAAAGGTGGTAAAAGCAACCCTGGAAAAATGAGAAAATTTTGGCTTTGGACTGCAGATTAAATTAGATTTCGGACCTTAAATCAAGGTTGGCAAACGCAAGTCCCTAAAGATCGCGCGTGATCGCCGCGAAACCGTCAACCTCGTCTCGGTGTGTATAAACGGGGATGCTTGCGAAACGCATCCACCACCACTTCGCAAAAGCAGCTCAACCGCCAGTGTCGATGCGCCATAAAAGATAACCTCCTGTTGCCCTCAGGGATCGAATCTGGGTGCATTGCGTGTAAACCGGATTAAAAAGACCTTTCATGGTCTTTTTAATTAAATCTTCATGAAATAACATCAAGCATCCTGTTTATCGAATTCTGATTGGTGAATACTGAAATATTTTTGAATTGGCGGTCAATTCAACAGTCCTAGTAGTTCAAGTTCTTTTTCATTGCCCTTGTCTTTTTCGCGCTATTTAATAAATAAACGTGTCTAAGAAAGTAGAATCACTGTATACGCAGCCCAGCATATGGGTAGAGACTGCCAGGACAATACAATTAAGGACATTTATTCTTGAAAATAATCCACAAATATTCACCCATTATCAGTGATTATGGGGCGCGAGTTTGTAATGGCATGGGGCTCAAGGCTTGAGAGCTGTATCTAATCATGCAAGTCGGCATGTGTACTGAACTAAAATGGGTAAAAATGTCAAAAGCTCTACAGGAAGATTAATGAGCCTGCATGTTATCAATGGTACATCTGAAACCACGTTCGCATGCTGCTGTAGGTTGAATAGGCGCGGACAACCACATTTCTTACATTTTTGTTGTTCATTACATGCCCACGTGTCTTAAGTTCACCCTGAGTTCTAAAAATCATGTCTGAGGTGTTAGTCTACCCAAACGGACTTTTTCGAACTTAAATGTTTTTCCAATATAAACTGATTTTGGCGTCCATGGATCTTGCCGTCGATCCACTGGGTTTCAAATTTAATTAGCGTGTCGGCCTTCAGGGTAGATAATGATGAGCGTGGCGTCACAGCCAAGACTTCTAACTTTAGGGCGGAATAGCTTCGAAAGCATTCAACAGACTCACCACTTTTTGGGCATCCGCGTCCCTTTTGTCACAAGATCGATCTTCCTCCTCTGGCTTCGCTGATGGAGCGCAGTTCGCTATCGGCAGCAGAGCTGAAAATATTAAAAAAAACTCGTCATTGGCTGATAAAGCGTCGGCTTTCAATACAGATACGTAAATAAGAAACTGACTGATCCTAAGGTGCTTGTCTTGATCAACCTGAAAACCAATCTGTAACTCTGGTCACATATGTGTGCATACATGTAATAATTTAGTAAATATTAGGAGTTTTAGGGTAACTCCTCAAAAATGTGACAGATCAGCCATCTCAAAGGCACATAGGAGGAACATTACTCATTGAAAAATAAATGCACGATAAATCGCGTTCGTCTCTTTTTCCGCAAAATACTAGGGAGGTCAATTACTGCAATCAACGGACCAAGCTTGCTGAGTGACGAGGCCGTACGAGCGCAGTTACTGAAAAATCCCGTATACGTTAATCACACAACAGCCGTCAGTTTTAGATACTCACTTCATTCTGAGTGTAACATTGAAGACGAAACTCACAATACTAAATTAATTGTGACTTGCGTTCGAGTCACTCGCCGTACATCGAAGTGATTGCTTCGTGAGCGGACATGGATCAACTAGACTTATGGGCGTTTTGTCAATTATTGAATCAATACATCAATCAATCAATATATTATTTGTTACCTTTGACAAAGGCTGACAAAATTACGAGTTGGTGACTTCATTGGGATTAAAAAAAACGTTAATAATGCTTGTAAATAGTCATTATAAATCGCTTCTTCGTGATAAAGCGTTATAAATACATGTAGTTGTCTTCTGTTCACTCCACGTATTGCTTAACGTTGCGCAAAAGTGTGCGCCCCGAAATCCCTATATGTTGCCATCCAGTTTCTGGATTTGGAAACATCCCCTAGTATGGGTACCGCGGCATGGCCGGCTATCGAGGCACGTTGCAGACAATTGATTTGGACAACGGAAGTAATCCTCTGGACTGCATTATGCTGAATGCTTTTCTTGTTGAAGAAGTTTGTATTGTTTCACAGTCCTCAAAATCGCAAAATGCTAGAAATATTAGTTTCCACATAAGCGAAAACGAATACGTTTTTGATATGTCCAAGTATACTTCTATGTTATTTGAAATGTATTTCTTATTGTTTATTATATCTAAAATTTTAAGTGCATTAAAAGAACACTACTATTGACCTTCCAAGTTTTTTTTTAATTTTTTATTACAATGTATTTTAAGCAACACGACGAAAGATGTTTGAAATATAGGCTTTACGTACAACTTAAGTACACTTAAATGTACGAAAAAATATTAGAATATTCAGCGGGTGTCTTAGACATATTTAATTAAATATATTTATATTTCACCCCTATTAAAATATGCATTTAATACAAATGAAACACTTGCAGGTGCTAATCTTTGCAGACGACGTTAAACTGTTTCGGCAGGTGAACATTATCTATGACTTTGCTTTGCTGCAAGATGATGTCTATTCAGTCTAAAGCTGGTGTATTCCTAACAATTGAGTTTTGAACCCCTGCAAGACCCAAGTGATGTCTTTGTCCAGAAAGTGTAGCATATCCTGTTATATGTACTGTCTGGCAAATGAAACTATAAGTCGGCCCTATTGAAAATATTTCTAAAGGGCCCGTCAGCCTTGAAGGATTATGGGACCTCACAGGCCTTCAAAACCCTTAAAAAATACCCTACAGAAAAACCCTTCAAGGGTACCCCATAGAACAACCCTTTAGCCCCACAGCCCCTTAACCCGTCAGGCCCTTTAGCCCAGCAACCCTTTAGACGGCCAAATGACTGTGAACCATAGACAAAAATGCAGGTCAAAACACTGAAAATTTATTGCCGACATTTAGTTTTACATGCATATTATAACTCAAAAAGCAACGCTTTTTCAAACCCGGCGCAAGGAGCTGTAGACAAAAGGGATCACATCAAACAGGGACAACTGACATCCTTATCACAAAGAAAAATACCTTTCAAAGTACTCACAATGCCGCTGGGTATATTCCTGATGTACGGTAGTTCAGCTAATAAAACCGAGCAGGTGCACCTCACGTACACATAAACAGTCTCAGTAAGCACGTTTAGCGAAAACCACAAACTCGTAAGCAGCACCCGCCGCCGTTGAGAAATCCCGAGCACAGTCACGGTTTCGCCCATGATGATATCGCGCCGGAGTCTTCGGCGTATTTTTCGCTCGCTGGTCTGAAGTCGGACGGACGAAGAGGCGCAAGGAACAAGTCCGGACAGCGGCCGTCATCCACTGTCTCAACACCCACAGTGCCATAATCCCGGTGCGCAGGCGCAACATGCGGTGGGACGCTGACCCCGACTGCCAGGCTTTGCAGCGAGTAAGCCGACACCGGCCACCATCTCCTTGAATGCGCTGAACACAAGGGCGCTCGAGCGGTGCTGAAGGCGGCCTGCGCCGAACTATGGTTCACCTGCGGTACCAAGAAAGAAACTGCACGGATCAAAACAGACCAAGGGGCGAGCCCTCAAAACCATGCATGCTCACCTTCCTGGAGGAAATTGGTCCGCTCCAAACATCCCGGCTCGTGGGATAACCGTAACCGCACACGAGCAGAGAGAAAATGGCTATGGCCTCCCCCGCTTGCACACACCACCCTCCTCCCCCCGACCGCTGGCCTGGCGGCCCTGCACCCTCTCCCCATCGCCGGGCGGAGAGAGGCGATTGCTTTTGGGGACAGTCCCCCGTGGGGGGACCGGTTCCCGGAACGAGTCGCTCCCGCGTGCGTCCCTGTTCCTGGAAAGCGCGCACTGCTCTCGCGGCTTTTTTTTTTCTTTTCTTTTTTCTTGTTTTTTTTTATATATACATGGTTGCACGTATTTCGCCTCGAACGGACAGGATTGCGTTCGCCTCAAAACGCCGCTCGGCCAACACCACTCGGCCCGCGGCTCGTCAATTCTCCACATGGGCGGTCGCCCTTAGTAGCCTCTTTCGCGACCGAACACCCGGGCAGTGACAGACGGGTCCAGGAGCCCACTCGTATTCGATAGAAGAGCAGTAATAAAAATCTGACCGTACTCACACACGATCGGCATTCTCCAAATACTTATTTTTCCCCCGTAGCGTACAATAAGCAGCTATGTTCATTAATTCTGCGAAATGGGTTTTTTCCACCTGGGCCGTTGCCCACACAGACATATCAAGAGGCCTGAAGGTTTTCCCGACCCCATTAGAAAAGTTCTTGACAGGCTTTCAGACATTTCAAGGCATCGTAAAGGGGACTTTAGACATTTCAGGAGAGCCTCTGACGGGGCCAGTGAACCCACCAGGAAATATCGGTGCTCCGTCAAACATCTCAGAAATTCCTGAAGTCCCCTTCACACCCTTTAAAAAAATCCTGAAGTCCCATCAGAGCGATTTTTAATAGGGGGACCACAATAATGAAACTTCTAGGGGGTTTTGTGCATGATCAACTTTTTTATTTAATTCTCACGTGAACTCCATTGTTAGCCAGAGTCGGGGCATGTTGTATTACGTTAATATTTTTATTTATTTCTGTACTACGTTAACATTTTTTTAAAAAAGTAACGAGTAATTAAACTAATCCGTTACTAATATTTTGTAACCAAATTACACTACAAATTACTGCCGAAAAAAGTAACGCGGCAATTACACAATTACTGAAAAAGTTACGGATTACAATTAAGTAGTCACTTGTAATGGATTACTTCCCATGTCTGCACATAATGTACCTCAAAACTTCAGTTTGATGTACAGCACACTACAGTTGAACAGACGGCTCCAAATTTTACGAGGTGCCTGATAACAGTGCGATATCTAACTCATTAAATAGATAAAATACGTATTAATTGCCACAGAAAGAATACGGATGTTTTGCAGTAGGGCCAAGAAAACCCCGATTATTTTTTCTTAAGTCAGTAAAACGTGCATTAGCTATTTTAATAAGTCGTCCGACACGGCTATCAAGCCTCTCGCGAAAGTTAGCAGCGTCAGATCCGCCATTGCGCTGTACGTCGAACTGAAGTTTTGGGGTGTTTTATATGGGACAAAAGGTGTGAGAATACACCCTTCTTTAAATAGTGTAGATTATTTACTACGGGACGTAAAATCACGAAAATCGGCCATCATTTGATGATATACCCCTATGAAAATAATTTTGTACTTTTTATTGAAAACGTGTTGACTTCTTGTTGACTCGGATTACTTTCTTTTGACTTTGAGTTCGTCTTGACATGGTCAACAAAACGTTTGTTGATTTTGTGTTGAAACTTTTCTGATGATTCTCTTTAACCCAAGTCAAAAGAAAAGCTGTTGAATTTCTATTAACTTTACGTTGATCTTTTTTTGCTCACTTCCTGTTAACAGTGACTTCAGAATGACTGCAGACGTTTTCATTACTTCGTGTTGAAAATGTTCAGTTGATTCACTGTAGCCAGAGTCAATATAAAAGTTACAGACTTTCTGTTGACTTTTTATTGAACATGGCACACCTCGACTATATGTTAACCGTCGCCAAGCTCTCAATGATCTCTGACAACACGAGAAAGGTAGGGAGGAGCTTCAGTTGTCCCGCCTCCAGCCCGAGACTTCTACCCTGGGCATAGCTTCGGCGTTGGCACACCTCGAGCGCGCGCGTGCAGTCAAAGCACGACGGAAGGCATCGGGCGCGTGCTAGAGCACAGCCGTTCGAAAGACACGTTTTACCGTTTTCACTTTGTAAGTTACTATAGCGATAAAATAGAAACTTGGACGAGTTGATGTCTCATATCTTAAGATGTTTGTCCTGTGTGTCGTGCTGTGTGATTGATCTTGCTCTTTTACCATAAGATATGAGTTTAGTGACTTTAATGACCATACTAAACAAGTCCACTAGTAAACAAAAGCAAAATAGCTATTTTAAAGTGGAGAAACCGCCTTCACTCGCTTCGTCCTGAGTAGGGCTATGCAGAGAAGCCATAACATTTCTTCTAAGAGCAGCTTTTGTGGATGTTGTTTCAGTGACTGCACCGAATGATGATTAGTTTTATAAATGCTTTTTTTGTAAGAGATATCGTCCACAAACTTTG